TCAGAGCTTCAGCATGTTGTACCTTACTTACAGATGGTACTTGCTGTGTTAGTGTTTATCGGCTGGGGGACTTGGGCTAAGGTTCTCGTTTCACTGTACTTTATGGTAATGGCTTGTAATACAATAGACTCGTTGATCATGAAACTGATCTGGCTTGTGTTCCTAGTGTGGTCGCCACCTCTATACTTTGGGAGGTATATAATAGAAGTGTATAGCGATTACACATCTTTTTCCCCTCCTTGGGTGGTCAGCCTATGAGGGAGACATTCCTACATGCCCTAGTGACAAGTACAGCAGCTACTCAATCTCTGATTGCAACAGATAACACAGCTACTCCAACTCCAAGCACAGCAGCTACACCAACCCCAGTGACAAGTACAGCATCATCATTTGAGAATTCTGAAGGTTTTGAATGGCCTTTGAGTACCCTTGAGACCTGCCTGCTGACTGTGATGGGGACCACCATGTTGGCATGCATTCAGAGTGTGCTTTATGCACGACCATTTTGTCTGATCTCGAAAGTTAAGCAGAGTTGTGTTTGGGTCTTGTCTAGGATTAGACGATGATATAGGAGAACCAGGAGATTTTTCCCGAGGCTGGACAGTCATGAGTGGCAGGGTGTGTGGGACATTATGGGCAAGTATCTAGTCCACTGGGCCCCTCCAGTGCTTTGGAATCATTGGAGATGAAGGCATCTGTATGGAGTCCCCAGTGACAAGTTGCAGAAACTGCTGGAGGGGAGGGTGAATTATTTTGAGCCTGATGGGCCCATGACACTTCAGGCCATCAGGGCAGAGATGCAACATAGAGATGGATTCATGATCGAGGGGTGGACTTAGCAATGGACGCTATTGCCCAGGTTATTCACGAGTGTGAAATGTGCTGCAATTAAGCAAGCCAAGTGGTTAAAGCCTCTTTGGCGTGAGAATGATGGTTGAAGTACAAATATGGGGAGGCCTGGAAGACTGACTACATCACACTCTCTCTCCTGCTCTGAAAAACTGTTACAAGAGATGGAGCCTGACATCATGGACCCGATGAACTCAGAGGCTTTACAGAGATTGGTCCATGCACTAAGGAATAATCTCTCTCTCTTTGCGTGTGTGTGTGGGTAGCTGCGTGGTTCTGAGTTACTGGCTGGGCTTAAACCACAACAGATATGTTAAAGCATGTTAAACATTTCCTTCATGTTAATATGAACATTATATATTCTGTATATTATAGATTTGAGGACCAAGTCTACGGTCAGCATGCTCCAAGCAAGGCATGTACAGCAAGTGAGTGGAGAGATAAACAGACTGGGTGGGAATGCAGGAGAGTGGATATAGGGAGCACTGAATATGTAATTTGCTACTGTTTCAGGTATTCATGCTGAGAGAAAGAACTTGTTTTGGCAGGGAACACTGCCGTGTAGACTGAGATGGGAGAAAGAATGCAAACAAAGTGCAATGATCAACTGCAGTGTTCTTGTAGCTTGTAGGAATGTCCTGTGGGTCATGGCAGGGAACTTTGACAGACATCATTCTATTTAATACTTCTATGCTCATCTCAAAGTAGAGCTAAACAGCATAGTGAAATGTGCTGATGATACTAAGGAATGCAAACAGGAGACAGCAGAGAAATACTATGAAAGGACAGGCAGATACTAGAAAGCTGCGTACAAATTCCCCCAAACAACTCACACACACAGACACAGAAAAGAAGATATACTGGAATGTGTATGCCCTGGCCACCAATAGTGCTGATAGACCTTCAAGGTATAGCGTACAACAGAAAGATGGGAGTGAGATATGATTTTGTGTAGTGGTGAAGGCTACGCACATACCGATGTCTGTTACAGGGGTGTTAGAGTTCGTGTATAAAGCTCTGTGCCATTACATTCAAATCTGTGTCGAATATTGCCAGCCACTGACTGACTGGAAGGAGTTGGAAAAAATCCCACAAAGATTCAAAGGCTGGAAAAATCACTTTGGGGGAAAGACTGAGGCTCAAACCCAGTATCTCATTAAGCATAAACTTAAAGTGCATGAGCTGTGCTGCTGATTTACAACTCCCTTTACAGCCCTGCTGGGTGGCTTTAACAAAGGAACTACATATCAGCTTAAAGGGTGCACATGTTTAAGCACTTTGTTGGATTGGAGCAGAAGGGGCTTGGTTAGACCTCTGAGGAAATGTGACAAAAGTCTTTGAGCCCTTGGCCACTGAAAGGTTCATATTAGCTGCATCAAAATCAGCAGGCAGTCATATTTCCATAAGGCTTGATTGCTGCATTCTTATGAGCAGAACAGAGGTCTGCAAAGGCTTAAACTAGGCAGCATCATATAACTAAAAGGGAGGAAGGCAGTGGAATTAAGCCTTTTGGGTGTATTTTTTTCAAGGTGAAAATTGGAAGACAGTCAGATGGTCTTTTAAGGGGAGTTCATATTGCTGGGGCTTTGGGATGGATAGGTTTGAATAAAGCACCGGAGAATGCCTATAAAGCACAGCTTTATGTCTTTACATTGGAAGGCTGGGAGTCCTTCCCTATTCCAAGAATTCCTGATTATACGGAGTTGCCACAAAAACTCCACAATTCAAGGTGGGAGGCATAGCTCCTTTCTGAGCTCTGAAATCATCTCTGCGACTGTTCATAAAAGAGTTCTTGTGAGCCTGAATTCCTGATGCTGATTTTCAAACCAAGAAAAATTAATCTTTAAAGAATAGGGCTGTGAAATGCTGAACTGGGATCACAGATACGGTGGGAATATTTCTTCTGTGTAACCATTTATTGTGCTTATAACTGAGAATTATCTGAAGTAGAGAGCAGTTCATTCTCCAAGAATGGCATTTTGGGTGAGTTAGTACTTTATTATTTTTGAAAGTCAAGAGAAGGTGAATACCCAGCTCCTTAGACTTTTTTAATCATTGCAACAGACTGAGATTGTTGCTCTTTTTTTTATTTTTTTTTTTTTTAATTTTGGTCAGGAATAGTAGAAAACTCTCTCTGGAAAAAATCAACACTTCAGTGTTTCAGTTAAATAATGATTCTAGACTTATAATGCAGTAAGTATCACATGATTTTATAATTAGTATTGGTAAATTAGTGTGTAAAAAGAATATGTATTATTTAATTTTATCTTTCAGAAATTTAATAGTGAAAACAGAAGTGTTGACTTTGGCAGGGATTTAGTCTTGGAGAGTTAGTGGGCACTCTTCTGGTCAATACTCACAAGAATTTAATAAAACCCCTGTATAGATTATAAAAAAAACAACAAGGACCAGGGGATGATGATTAGGATAGAGCTTCCCTTTACAAATCTTGATTGAACAAATACTTGAAAGCTATGTTTGTCACCACAGGATGGAAGTCAAGATATGGAGTTAAATTATTGACATAAGTGAATATATACAGATCCTTCTTTTCCTTCTTTCTCATTGACCTTTATAGTTCAGTTTTATACTGCACTGTTTCATTAACTCCCTAGTGCTTTTCCTTTCCTGATAAGATGCATCTATAAGCTAGTTCAAGATTGCAACCCATTGCTCTCCTCATACAGTTACTTAGTTTTAACATTCAGCATTTAGTCCCCTTCAGATGCTGAGTAGCTGCAGCACTTGTTCAAATTTTTATGTGTAGTACAGTACAAAAGCTACCAAAAGAGGGCAATATATGAGCCAACAATAAGAAATGTATCCTGACAAGTTTACAGTTGTGCATTTGTGACACCCTCCCCCCTTTCTTTTTGATAGAACAAGAAATGTTAGCAGAGCTGGTCAGGAAACAGAATCTCCATTCTATGGGAAACATCAATATTTGGGAAAAAAGTGAAGGCGCTGAAGTTTCATGGATTAAAAATTCAGAAAAAATACATTTGACATAATGGAAGTGTTTCATAAGTGTCAAATCATTCTCACAGCAGAAAGCCAAAAGTCATAGTGACAATAAAATATCTAATTTAGTAGGCAAAATACTAAATACATGAATGTTATAAAGTTCAAAACAAAATTAAATGAAACAATGAACAACTTCAATGTTTTTACTTTATGGAAAACAATACTCTAAATATTATTGAATGTAAATATTGTTTTAATTTTTCTCCACTTAAAATGTTGTCAAGATATGTATACTTGCAAAAGAGCAAGCCTATTAAGACCAGGTTGTATTTCCTGAAAGAATATGTTTCCTCTGTACATTGTTTAATTACATTTTCTCTTGGTGAAATGCCTGAGAGAATTTCAAGATACTCTTAATCATCCTGCAAAAGACTAAGGTAACCACACCCCAGGACTGTCCCTGAAGGTGTGTTTGTGAAGCTAGACAAGGTGCTGTCTCATAAACCGTGTGAACTCAAGCACTAGTATACCCTGCACAACACCAAATGTGCACCCACTGGCAAACAGTTTATTATAAACAAAAGTTTTCTCAAAGTATTCAATATTACCCCAAGGAGTTAGTCTTGTACACATGACAGCATGGCAATGGATACAGTAAGCAAATATAATCTACCTCTCTTAGGGTGAATATTTGGTTACAAACCTTTGGAGAGCTCTTTAATTCTTTGTATGCTTCCATGGTGAGAATCAGAGGAAAGGCAGTGGAGATGTAAAGAATGGAGGGTGATTTTTTTCTTATCAGCAGTCCAGATAGGCTACCTGCCAGTCAAATTAAAAACCTCACTGGAGGAAATGAATGAATGCCTGTAGGTGTAGAAATATGCTGTTTGTACAGCTGCACCAAGTTCTGCTAATGGGAAATGAGAATCAGCCACGTCTTTGTGGAGATGTGCAAAATTCTGTGGCCATGTCCAGGAGGTTGACTATGGAATTTAGGGTCCTCAGACTTTTTTGCCTTTTTTTTTTTAAATTTTATTTGTCTCATGTCTTTTTTTCGAGACTAACTTCTGCTTTCTGCTTGGTTCTATTATGGCTTAAAATGCTGGAATATCCAGAAAAGAGAGGTGGGAAGATCTACTATCTATCTGTAGAGCAATGAAACATTTGGGAAGTTTGGAAGTACTCACCTATCTCGAAGACAGAATGTTCTACTTGTAGGAGCAATACCTTATCTTCTCTCATTTATCCATGTCCTGCTTTTGCATCTGTATTTCTGTGGATTCCAAAAACAGGAAAGGTTTATTCTTCCTAGCCAGGAACAAGTAGATATTTCTGTCTGTAGAGTTTCTCCATTGCGTGATCTATCATACGATCAACAGCTTCACACAGTTCACCAGTTGAAAGGCTACAGAATCACAGGGTATCAAAGATGTTAAGTATAGGTATGACAGTTATGCATACTATCTGTATGGCTTTATAGAGTGTATCAACTCTAATTACAAAGTTTTCAGAGAGCTTCTGTATTCTGGATATGCAAGAAGATATTTATACTCATCTCCTTGGCCTTCATTTTCTGTACTGACCATCTATTTTTGATTAATGTCGTGATACTCCCTCTCAGGCAACGTTACCTTTTGGAGACAAAAGAGGAACAGTTATGGAATTAATTTTAATGGCACTGGGAGGTGTTGTTCATTACCTGGTTGTGTTTATTTGTAGGAAAAAGGTAAATTGCCTTGCCTACATGTGTCTGACTGCCATTTTATATTGCCACATCAAATAGCAGTCTAGAGACTGGTGTTTATTCCAGAAACAATTGGCCCTTGCACACAGACACACTGATTCTCACAAGTGATTCTATGTATGCCCTTGCTTCTCAACTTCTGCCAAATTCAAGCCTAAATTCTAGGAAGCAACAATAAAACAGTAACAGGAGTCATGTCAGACTTGAAAGCAATCACTTTAGCTCTGTGAACACAAACTGTACTTCTTTTTCTTCTTTAGAAATGATTTTTTAAACATGGCTTGGCTTCTCTGAGCTAGCGTAGCTTTACCCTGTGAGTCAGGTTATGAAAAGGGATCTGTTACCCCCTTCACAGACACGGTATGTGAGCCTAGTTACATCACATTTCAAGGCAGATGGATCTCCAAAGGGAACTGCATCATCCAATCATGTGCTTTCTGCTTGTTGCTATTGATTCTTGTGGTTTGTCTGTTTCTGATTTTATTTCTCTGTGTAGTTTAAGGGCAAGTCTGTGGTTTGCCCCATGTGCCCAAGTGAGGGAGAAAGGGTGCAGAAGACTGCCTGAAAATAAATAAATCAGAAACAGATAGACTAATTACAAGGACAAATGCCAAGGGATGGAGAACACACAGCATCCTCATGATCAGATACGCCTAGCCTGTTGAAGGAGAGATGGATGTCTCACTATGTGACATAATTCTGTACCACATCAGAGAGGAGTGCCAGAACATCCTCTTCCTTGCCTGGTTGAGCAAACCCTTCTTGTGTGGTTTGCCCACATTGCGTGTCCCAGCATGGAGAGGAACAGCTTCCCTGAGGTAGGGGTGGGGAGGAGCAAGGCTGGGAAATTAGAGGTTGTTCCTGCCTCTCCAGTGCCTGTCCTGACAGCCAGCAGGGCTAAACTGGAATGAGAAGGGATGTAATCTACTCCTGGTTGTTTTACGCTCAAAGAACATTACTTCCTTCCGTGGAATGAGGCTAGTCATGGATGCCACCATGACTCAGGGTCTCCTGGAGTAGCACAGCTCTGTGCCATGACCTAGGGGGTGAATTAGGAAGGCTTTTGATGTCATTCTCTAAGCACTGCACCAAAGGAGACAAAGACTTCTTAATGTAATGTCAGCCTATCTCTTAAACATAGCCATGAAACTAAGTCCAACTTGCCAGCAGCTGGTAAGGCAGTAGTTTCCCTACACCGCTCTGGCACTTAGCATAAGAAATGTCATCATGTGGGTGGATTAGGCAGAACCTGTCAAAGTTGTGTGCATGTTCTTTGGTTGTGCTTCCTACCCTGGCCTAATAATGCCAAGGAGATGGGGAGTGGCATGTGTCACACTTTCTGGCATGTGTCATGTAACCCAGTGAAGCAGAGCTACAAGACTTTTCTGCTTTAGTAGGTTGCAGGCAGAAGTGACATGCTGTAGCAGCTAGAAGTCTTAATTCTGTATGTATTCACACTGCTAGTGCCTTCATCATGTTTTCTGCTTCCCCGGGTCTCTCTGTCAGAGCCAGATGTACGTTTTGAGGAAAGGGTAAGGAAATGTATCCAGACAGATAGGGAAGCAAGGGTAGACAGAGACGTTTACATAACATGTCACCTACAGTCCCCAGAAAGCTTTAAAAGTTCAATGGCATGATCTCCCTAAGAACCACTGAATTTGGCACAGATGTCCAGGGGGAAATATTCAGTGGCTGTTTTGCAGTGTGCAGAAATGTTCCATAGCAGTTCAGCAGAGGTTACAAAGAATACCCGTACCTGATAAGAAGAGACATAAGATTTTAAAGCAAGACAACTGCAGACTGATGAAATTTAGGGCATAGTCACTGTCACTCCCCAAGCTGGTGTGAGGGGAGTTGATATTAGTATTGGGGTTAGAGAATTTCCCAAGGTCCAGCACAATCTCAAGGTAAATCATCCTCAGGGAAAAAGGAAAGAGCAGTGTATTCAGTCTCACAGCAAAGCCTGGTTTTGCACAGCTCCCTGCTTAAATTCTGCGCTGAGGAGATGCACTGTAATCCCTCAGATGAGGCAATATGCCAGGTGAGTTCATCACAAATCACCACCAGAGTAACAGAAGATGGTACAATCATGTCTGCCCAGTATGACTGGAATGCCATCTCCTGTCACTGCCAGTATGTTGCAGGCTGTATCTGGTTGTCCGGAAAAGACCTATTGGCTACCACAAAACAGACAGGTCATAGGTCTGATGTGACATAGCAGACAGCACTGAACTCACCAGCAAGAGTTACTGTACTGTTTTCCTTGTAGCTTATAATACTACTAATAAATAAATAAAAAAAAAGATAATAATAATAATAATAATAAAAAATGATAGGACCAGCTTCTTCTGCAAGGACCTACAGGTGAATGACAGCTGCTACCTCGATGTAGCATCTGTAGCACCTCAGGTCAAGAACTGCCATCCCCAGGTGCCATGGTCTGATTCTGCATGAAACTGAAAAGCAGTAATTGCATAAGTACATATACTGAGTGGTAAAAATACAGCTTGCTGGTCATGAAAGCAGCCTTTGTGGACAAGGGAACTGCACAGTAGCCTCATGGGATGGGGATGCCTCCTCCCTTCACTTGCTGGTTTTGATCCAGAGCATGGGATTGTAGTAAGGGGGTAACATAAACTGGCCAGTAGCTATACCTCCTAGAAATACAAATCATCACTCCTGATGTGGGTGCTGCCCCTGTGTCAGACGTAGCTGGTTAGCTAGTCAGCTGATGTTGTGTATGTGGGGCTGAGGAGCGGGACTGGAGCTTGAGTGACTGCACTGGGATGCTCTGAAATTCCAATTCTGCCGCGAAGGAGGAAGAGGCAAAGGATAAAGCTGAGATGGGAGATGACTCTGCCACTTAATTTGTGCTTAACATTTGTGTGAAGTTGAGACAACCTGCATCAACATGGTGCCTGACATGGAACTTGTATTGTCCCATGATCACCATGACCCTGCTCAGATAGCCAGATAATGTCACATCTCCAATTGCATAACAACACGACACTGTCTTGATCCCTTGCCTGCAATCATTATTGAGCTGACTGTTTGTGCACTGAAGAGGGAATTCAAATATTGTTGATCAGTGGAAATGTTAGCTACGTGTCCTTTGTTGGGAGTAAAGCAACCTGATTCCTCCTACATCCACATATTGAAAATAGAAAATAATTGGAGAGAAAAAAATATGTGTCAGCAGGGATAAAGGCAGAGCTTTCATCTGCGTATGAGTACATGATGTGCAGGGTACACAACAATGTTTAGGTAGGTACCAGTGTTTTGTAATTCAAGGATCACATAACTTTAAACAAGCAACAACAACAAAAAATCCACTGCTGCCATGCTATTTTTCATTTACAGACAAATAAAAATTAAGCTAACCCCTCCATGTTCATTTATTACTTTTATTCTCCCTCACTTTGTTTGTTTGCCTGCTTTCTTGTATGGCAATGCGTATGTTGTTTGGTTGCTTGTTTGGTTTTATTTGAAATAATTTTGCATGTAATTTTCTGAACTCTTACAAAGCAGATGAACTAGTAAATGTGTATATTTATGAACCTTTGTCCATGTACAAAGATTGATGCATAGCTAATAAAATGCATAGCTCTGCAATCCTTTCACGCTTAAGATTCCCAAGCAGAAGTTGTGAGTATTCATATAAAATAGAACTGATCCAAAATGTACATATTTAGCTTAGATAATAGCAGCCCCCAGATATGTGCCTCTTTCTGTACTTGGAAATCTGTCAGTTGAACAAAGAGCAGGATATAGTGTGAATCAAGCTGTCCTAAAAGCTTTATGTGATAGACACACTTTATGGAGTTAGTTCCATTTCTCTCACATTTCAAAAGCAGACTCAGCCTCTAATTATCATGAGGACAGACTTCACAAAATCATTTTTTGTAGTCAAGGATTGCAATGTGTTTTAAAAGAATATATGTCAAAAAGAAAACTTTGTCCCAAGGCTTATGGTTCAGCTGTTCAAAGGTTCTTCCTTTTTCTTCCATCTGAAAAATTATTCCTGAAAAGCCATTCTCCTTTTTTTTTTTTTTCTGCTATTTTTCAGGGAGGAAAAAAAAAAAAAAAAGAGCTGTAAAGCTCATGCTGTTCTGAACTCCTTCTCTGCCCTTTCCCCAATGAGTTCACCAAACAAAATTCCAACAGAAACAAATGTTATTATGAGATTAGTAGAATGAATGCCAGAGTTCAGATACTAAACTTTTTTTAAAAAAACAGTGGGCTTAATGACGTGAAGGAAGTTGTAGTTTAAACATCAAGGTCAATTATTTCGTTAAATATTATTTAAAAGTTACTTGTCTTGAAACAAAACCAGAACTATCCATTTCCCAAAAATGCAAACAGATTATTCTGCTCCTGTTTGTCAGCTTCACTAGATAACTTCTATTTGATCTTCAAATAAAAACAGTTTCTGTTTCAGATTTACACAACAGGCTGTCTCTAAAAAGAAAAAGATCTTGAGGCTGGACTGCTGTTTACTTTCCCTTCTAATCCTGTGAGAAGATTTGCATAAGAAAAGCAAAGAGATTTAAGTCTAGATTTTTCACTCTACATCGAAAGCATGAAGATAAGCCAGTCCTCATCCATCTATTCAGAAAGAAAACAACTGCTTTTTTAAATCAGGTGAGCAGGAAATCTTTCAGTAAGTTCAGCAAGGTTCATGTAAAAGTAACAGGGACTAATTCTCAAAACTAACTGGAGCTTAGTTAAATAATTATAATAGTCAAACACTGAGAGTCTAAAACTCAAAACCTCCAGTTCCAGGTTTGTTTCCTCATACTGTGTACTTAGCTTTAAAACAACATCCAGAACTGGTATTTCCTGGATCTTGCAAAGCAGCCCCTTGTATTTGTAGGTAGCCTTCTCACAGTTTCTAACAGCATCGATCTCATTTGGGACCTCAGTGAGCAGAGCAGTGCTGGGAGGTGATGTGAGCGCCGGCTGTCACTGCTGAGAGAGTGCCTCCAGCTCCAAGTGTGACCCCAGGAGCAAACCAGTTAACTCTGCTGTAGAGTGGCAATATGGACTTGTACCTACAAGACTGCTATGAAGCAGAAAAGTTTAATGTGTGCAACGTACCTGGAGATTCTTTTCGTGTATAGAAAGGCAAATTATTATTTTATAGGAAGAGGATCGGAAAGGATGTTTTGGATCATGGGGTCAAGTCCCTTGCTGTGGGTGGTAACCACATCTCAGAAGCTGGTTCACAAACCAGTCAAATTCCATCTTCCAGCTGCTTTGATTCCTTTCTGCCTGCAGAAGGCCTTTCCGTGTCCTCACCACTCTGGTGAGATGAAGGTGCTTTTCCATTTCCAGCTTGAATCCCCTTCTGGACAGTTTGTACCAATTCTTTCTGTAATAATTATTTTATTTGGGAGGAGGGAAGGGAAGCTGTCTCATAATTTTAAGATTAATCTGAGTTTTCCTCTGAGCCCCAGACACCTGGT